ACTCCTGTGAGGTGAGCAATGCTTAGGGTGTTCCTCGAACTTTCGCAGATTATTCGTAAACTTTTCCGTAGATCACATTGATATTTTCATGTTTCATAACATCGCAGTTCATACATGTGAACTTATAGTGTGGGAAGAGAAGTCCTTCACTGACTTATCTGCTGATCGAAAGAATATTTTTGATTCTAGCAATGAATTGGATATTTGAGGATATTCCACGATTACTGCTGTATTCGTATTCGTTTTCAGCCCAGCTTTCTCGTTTGGTAAAGAGACAGTGTCAGCGTCATCGAAACCAATAAGCGACTGTGGTGACGAAATTGACCGTGAAATTGAGGTTCAAGCATTGGGCAGGATTCATACTCCAGACGTTCTCAAACCCCAAATTCACCCTTACAATTCAGAGCAACAAACTATTGTTTGCATATATTCATAAAAGTGAGGGCGAGTAGGTACTGAAAAATTCATATACCCAGAAGTTCATCAATGATAACCTTTTTGCAATTCAGGACATCTGAAGATTCCGGTGATGAATTGACAACCCGTCAGGAGCATGCAACGAGTTATGTGTTGAATGGTGATCGAAAAATTGCAATAGCATTCATAGATTTCAAGAAATTAGACGTCGTTATCTCAAAACCTCGATTGGATGTGCCACGACGTACACCTTCAACCTCTGATCTTGCATTAAAGAGGCGAAAGGTGTTCATTTTGCTAATGTATTCTAGTCTTCAATTGTGTTCAGATCGAGAACAATAACCTCATCCTGAAAGCCTAATGATATTTATTTCATTTCACTCTCACAAGCAGTCGCATACTTTTGCTGTGATACATCAAATTCGAACTGTGTGCATTTGTTATTGTATTACTATCTCAAAGATGATTTTCTGATTCAGGTGAAGATGGCTTTATCGAATTTGGATTTGCGTTCCTTCGGTAGTGATTCGTCACTTGCCTCATTCGATGCTACCGAGAGTGGTACACCAATGCGAATGGTACTATCGCCTGCTAAACGATCTCTCATTCCTCGTTCATCATATCGCAGACCGCTAACAATCTCTTGAAATGGAATTCATCTACTAACTGCTTATGCCAGCACATTGAATTGTTTTTTTTTGTACAGTTTCTTGAACTGTACAGTTTGTACAGTTTCTTTTGTCAACTTTCCTGAATGCTTTTGAATTTGTAGTCAT